CCCAACCCCCTGCCCTGAGCCCCAACCCCCTGCCCTGAGCCCCTGCCGCACCCTGCGCCCCATCTGCACCCCAACCCTGTGCTTTGAGTCCCCTCGTACACCCTGCACTCCTCCTCTGCCCCAACCCCTCTCCCTGAGCTCCTTCCTGCACCCCGCACTCCCTCCCACACCCCACACCTCCTCCCACAACCCAACCCCGTGCCCCAGCCCTGCATTCAGGGCCATAAATGTAATTTCGCCACTCAAATGTGGCCCTTGGGCCAAAAAGTTTGCCCACCCCGATGTAAGGAAAGGATAGTCAAAACAAATGATGCCTTGGGTACATCATAAACCTTAAACACTTTAAACCAAAAATAAATACTAAGTTTACACTTGCTGCACACCACAGATGCATATCATGGGCCAAGTTCTGCTCTTAATTACACTGCCAATGTAACTCCAGTAGATCAACAGAGTTATCTGGATTTACACCACTGTAACCTGAATCAGACCTTAAATCTGTGACTGTTTAAGAAAATTCACCATTTAATAGAACAAGTTTTCACCTAAAAGCAAACCCTGGTGTGGAATGACCAGGGCCAGGTTAAGGCAGGGGCTTTAGGGGCTGCAGCCAAGAGCCCCGGCTCAAGGCGGGTCCCGCAAAAATAAATCACAGGCAGCGATCTCCAACTCTGGGGGGCAACTAAAAGTCACACGGCACAGCAGGGCGCTCAGGCAGGCTGCCTGCATGCCATGACTCCACGCCGTTCCCGGAAGCGGCCGGCTGCTAGCACGTCTCTGCGGCCCCTGGTGGGGTGGGGGAGGCAGCTCCGTGCACTTGGCCTGCCCCCAGCACCCATTGGCCAGGAACCGGCCAATGGGAGCTACAGGGATGGCGCTTGCGGGCGCAGGCAGCGCATGGAGACATGCTGTCCCCCTCCCCGCAGGGGCCGCAGAGACATGCTAGCAGCAAGCTGCTTCCAGGAGCAGCGTGGGGCCACAGCATGCAGGCAGCCCACCTGAGCCCTGCTGTGCCGCCAGCCAGGAGCTGCCTGTGGTAAGCGCCTCCTGGCCAGAGCCTACACCTTGCACCTCCTCCTCCACCCCAACCTTCTGCCCCAGATCAGAATCCCCATCCTGCACCCAAACTCCCTCCCATACCATACACCCCCTCCTGCACCCTAATCCCCTGCACCAAACTTCCTCCCAGGAAAAAGGGTTGTATACAGGGGCCCCACAAAATCTAATAGCCCCGGGCCCACAGGAGAGTTAATCCGGGTCTGGGTATGGTGTACATACTAGCATCTGAAAGCTAAAAATTTGGATAGTTGAGGACATAAATACTCAACGCTATAGAAATATTATTGCTGCACTAAAAAAAAAAAATCCTCTAGTCCAATATACAACAACTTTCCTAATAAAGACCTAACCAGAACACTATTTGGAAATAAAAATGCAATTAAAATGCACTTAAATTGTAATTAAAAACATTTCCATTCAAATTCAAACAAATTCAGCTGAGGACTTCTGATACATAAAGAGGGGAACAAACAGCAAGCTGGTAAATGTTTTGCTTACAAATGGGAACTATCCCTCCAACATTCTCTCTCTCTCTATATATATATATAGAGAGAGAGATCCTATCTCCTAGAACTGGAAGGGACCCTGAAAGGTCATCGAGTCCAGCCCCCTGCCTTCACTAGCAGGACCAAGTACTAATTTTGCCCCAGATCCCTAAGTGGCCCCCGCAAGGATTGAACTCACAACCCTGGGTTTAGCAGGCCAATGCTCAAATCACTGAGCGGGCAGTTAATTTATACATCTGTCTGTATCTCTCACACACACACACACACTTCCTCAATTATATCTTCCCTTATAGCTGCTGTGTGTATAGCAAAAAAAAAAACTAGATAAGAGGATAGGTCCATCAATGGCTATTAGCCAGGATGAACAGGGATGGATGGTGTCCCTAGTCTCTGTTTGCCAGAAGCTGAGAATGAGTGACGAGGGGATAGATCACTTGATGATTACCTGTTCTGTTCA